ATCAGTCTCCTTTGTTTTGTCACCTACACAGATTTAAGTGTGAACATGTGAAACATGTTGTTTAAAAATGTCACCTTGTGACGTTCTTATTTGGAGTTTCCTGTTTCCATAAGAAGCAATCAGTCACTTCATAATGCATCGTTTCTTTCAGTTGGACCGTTTCCAGTTTAGATTTTGAGAAAGTGAAATATGTAAAACGGTGAAATCAGAACAATCCCAGTGTCAGCTGTGGAGAGGATTACGTGATGAAACATTAACAACATGTGAAGCAGTTTGAGGGACATGAAGCAAAGCGACGCTCCAGGACCAGCTTCAGGAGCCGTACTTTAAACGTCTGTGGAGTTTATTTAAACACTTTTATGAACACTTCAGGAAACATCGGGTGTTTAAAAAGCATTCGGCTGTTTTTGATTCGGTGCATTAGTGAAGAACTTAATCATTTAAATGTGTATTTAAACATGAGGCGAGCTGAGTTTAATCGTGTTCCACGTTAAATAAAAGGAAAAATGAAAGTGCTTCACTTTATATATAAAAGGCATCAAGGTAAAATAGGTAAGCATCAAAAAGCAAAGTATAAAAAGTCATTTAGGCGAACAGCAGAAGTTGCAGTGAGTGTGTCACCTTCCCTGTGTGCTGTTAAAGCTGCCTCCACACAGAAGCTTAAGAAACCAACTCCATATCAGATTTTCTTAAGGATCTCCAGACGTGCCGTATTATTCCTACATCGTTTCTAGCCTGGATCCACAAACGATTACACATTTAATGCTCTAATAATAGATCAATTTTCACATGATACATCTCTCGCCGTGGAGGATAATCTCCAGCTACAAAATTATATCACCTCTCTGACAGGAATATTGCCCACCTACTACAATATAATCACACAACAGATAAGAAATCAAACTGTGGGGAAAAATGGATTTTCAAAGTAAAATACCCGAAGACGTGTGTTTGCGTGCGGCGTGCGTGTACTGTATATTACGCGGGCACTTGTGCGTGATCTCTCGCTGTGTCTCGCCGATCAGTTATCACTAATCCTTCCACTCGGAGCTCTTTAACAAGTTGCTATTGTGCCGCAGACGCTTAACATGATGGAGGAACGACCGTCGTGGTGAATGAAAAGAAGAGTGAGAGGGAAGGAGGGAGAGATGCAGAGGGAGGGAGAGGGCAACACCTCCGACAATGGCGAGAAAATTGGTTTACACTAGATAGGCTCGTGATTACAGAGGGAAAGAAAATGACTTGGATTGAACAATGGGAGTGCGTGCACGGGTGTGTGTTTGTGCGAGCGTGCGTATGTCTGGAGGATTAGTGGGTGGTTAGGCGAGGATTTGGTTGAAATGAATTGGTGGCTATGGCGTGCTGATGGGTGTGTGTTTGGATGCTGTACTGTAACGCTCGCTGTGAAACGGCCTCTTTGTGTTCAGACTTGATCTAACTGGGAATGTTTGTTGCGGTCCTGCAAACCCAACGCTCCGCACACGCTCGTCATCACGGCTGAAGACGCTCAGTCTGTGATGTAACTGATACTTCAGCTCCAGGATGCTCAGCGGTTTAGCTCGTGCCCCCAGTATTAATGAGGAGAACAAAGATGTGTTGACTGTTTTTTCTCGTGTGCATTTAAGCAGGAATCCTGTTTTCAACAAGAATCCACATTTGAGTATCAGAGCGTGGAGAGCGTCTCCCGAAGGCACGGTGTTTTGCACCTGCTGTAACAAGACTGCTCTGAAGCGAGCACCTTTATGTGGCGACGTCCATCGCCACCATCGGGCAAAGCGGGTGTTGAGTTTGTGAGATTCCGGTTTAGAAAAGCGGGCGGATACTTTGTGACGTCAACAAACGCAGAAAAAAATATTTTTTAACCTTCTCCTCAGTGACACGGCGTTCCCTTCTTTCTGCCTGTTTCTCTTTAGGAGGCCCAGCAGGAGAGCTACAGCTTCAGGGGTCCTACCCCAGGGAATTCTGGGAAGGCTAACAATGAGGATAACGTCCCCCACGACCGCCCCTCTAGTCTGCCGGTGAGTGATTGACAGTCGTGCGCTGCTGCACAAATCATCGTTCAGTCAAACCTCAAAGATGCATCGTGGTCATTTTTGACCGCACGTCCACCTCACTGTCCAATCAGATTCTTCCGCCCACCCTGTGACCTGCCCCTTTCTCTGATGTCTCAGGGGGGTTTGCTCATTTCAGAGCTCACGTCTGTGTTTTGACTGGCGTCCACGCCAAAGGCGTAAAGGCCCAGATGTGTCGCGTCCCGGTCTGTAGCGCCGTCCCCTCGCTCACACATACGGCCACGAGCACAGAAAAGCATATGCACCGACGCAGACGCTGCTTCTGCGCGACGCAGTCACACATGCAAACCCACAAGCGCTGCCTGCTGGCGTACGGGCGAGCTGAAAAGCACGGAGCAGGTTGGCTGGAGGAGTAATTGAGAAGAAATGGTGAGAGCAGGCTGATCCACGGAGGGAGACATGTGGGCTGCTCTCCTTTTTTTCTTTTTGGCCAACCTCATCGCTTCTTACTCCATCATCTCTCTCTGCTTGCAGCTCTGCAGCATTTTCAAGAATAGAATAAATAGACATTTGCAAATGGTTGCAAATATTGGCTCTGCTTGAGGTGTGTGCAGTTTAATTTACTCCATACTTTGGAGCAGCCCCAGGAACGACTGAATAAACTGCAAGAAAAGCTCAATTAAGTGTCTGAACTTGAGTTGAGCCGTAATATTCTTGGTGCACGGACACTTCTGAAGTCTGTGCTCGGCTTTGTTTGTCATCCTCGTGCACACGTGTCCATAATGTGCTAACAGTATGTGGCCCGTTTCATCTTTTTTCCTTCCTTTTCACTCTCCCACACTCTTTAGCCTCCTTCCCTTTCGCTCTCTGTCTTTCTCTCTAAAGCAGCATCATGAAAGCTCTTTCTCCCCCCTTGTGCTATAATGAGAAATGGCCTTGATGTATCGGTGTGTGAATCCGGAGCGAGACGAGGCGAGGAGCCGCTGCGGTCGCGGGGGCCGATCCATTTGAACCAGCACCACCATCACCCCGCGTTCCCTCGCCACTTTAATCCCGGCGTTTTACCCCTTGGGTTCTCCGTGTGTTTTCACATCCCATCCAAAGCGTGCGGCTCGCCCAGATCCTAATCGGCGGCAAGTTTTGATGAGAGACACAGAGAGGGAGAGATGGATAGATAGAAGAGGAGAGAGAAATCGCTCGGCATTTGCCAGGCTCTTCCTGCAAGCTGTCACGGCAGAGATGAGCCGCTTTTTTCCCCTTTCCTCCCCTCTCTTTCTCACTCTCACCGGCATTTGATGTCAGATCTAAAGCTGCTGTCATCTTTTCCCCCCTTTCTCTCCGCCAGGAGGGAGGGAGCGCGGGTCGGCAGAGTGTCACGTTGTTGTTTTGGGACGAGGCTGCTGTGTGATGTGGCGGGATTTTTGAAGGAAGACCAAAGGGAGAAGTGCTTTAGTGACTTATCACAAATGCAAGTCACACTTCCCCTCGGGACTCGGGAAATGTATCGGAGATATGGAGCGCCTTGTATTCTGTATCGCTGTACAGTATCTGTATTGTTAATGTGAAATCACCGTCCTTTAATGTTTCTGGTAGGTTGCATCCTGCAGCTGGTCGTATGTGTGCGTTTCCACGTAGCTTCAGTCCTGATATTGAGTCACGCATGAGTGTGGGTCTCTGATTTCAGCCTTTTTGATCTATTTAGAATAACACATCAGCATTTAACACCACTTTTTTTAGCATTATTGCGTGTACCTGTTTGACAGACACTATCTCTACTTTTAAGATTAGTCTTAAAACTTTCCTTTGCTGACCCTGAATCCTCCCTCAGTCATGCTGGGGGGGTGTTTCCCATGATGCTGTGTTTATACACATCTCTGCATTTAATCATCAGTTATTATTCATCTCTGCTTCTCTTCCACAGCGTGTGAACCAGTCTGGTTCTGCTGGATGTTTCTTCCTGTTAAAAGGGAGTTTTTCCTCCCTACTGTCACCAAGTGCTCGGGCATAGGGGGTCGTCAGGTTGTTGTCTGTACCTTAGAGCAGCGGTCTCCAACCTTTTTTGCGCCACGGACCGGTTTATGCCCGACAATATTTTCATGGACCGGCCTTTAAGGTGTCGCGGATAAATACAACAAAATAAAACTAGTACCGGTACCAAAAAAAGAGATTTATTCCTAACACACGTGAAAAGACCCAGGAAAACCGAGTAAACGATAAAAACGATAACAAAATAACGCTGAAAACCAATAAAAACCCTGAAAACTATACATTTCATTTGAAAAACTCTGTTATATTTAGAGCATCTTTTCAGTGGAATAAGTCGCCTTATGCAATTAAAGAATTGGCTTCTATTCATAATTTTAAAAATCACCTAAAAGCCTATTTAAGCTGTTTTTAATTTATTTGTAAATATTGTAAGAGGGTAATGTCACCTGTAATGGAAATTGTGTATTTTGTTTGAGTGTTTTTTTTATAATTTTTAATATTTACATGTTAAGAGCCAAAGTATGTGGACATTTTGCATCCAACTCATTGTGTAACATTTTATTTGGTGGTGTTTGATGGTTTGGGCCCCAGGAAGTTGTGGAAGCTAATGGGGTTCCTTATAAATAAATAAATAAAATAAATAAACCAAGTGCTTGGGCATAGGGGGTCGTCAGGTTGTTGTCTGTACCTCAGTGTATAAAGTGCCTTGAGGCGACTGTTTGCTGTGATTTGGCGCCGTATAATTAAAACTAGCGTCTTCACGTTAGCTTTGGTTAAACTCGACCTGGTGAAATGAGAGCAAAGAGCATCCTGTGACCAGACGAACTTTATGTGAAAGTCATTTCGTGCTCTTGTCTTTGGTTTTTCCTCCTGTGTGTTGATGCAGCAGACGCCGCCGCTGCACAGAAACTTGATGAAATCGTGCTTCTCTCGGTCGAGCGTTGTCTTCTTCCAGAATCGCTCTGATTTCTGCAGGATGTGCGGGGCAATTACAGGTCAATAAATCGTGACATGTTTTTGGCTGACGACGTGTTAGAGGCGCGTGATTGGCACAGGATGACATGTCATCTGCTGCCTTGTTATTTCCAGCTCTGTGCAGCATAGAGGTTTTTATTTTTTGCTATTGGGGGGGTCTGCATCTGTGTCAGCAGCCCTCTGCATCTTTCGCCTAACATTGCTAAGTCAAGCTGCTCTTCCCACAGTGGGCTGCCCCCACCCCAAATCCTCCCCATCCCTGTTCCAGTCACTTCATGTTCCCTGCTCTCTGGCGTTCCCCTGACAGCCTGCCAAGCTGCCGCGCAGCCTCCCATCCTCGGGGACATGGGAGAGGATGGCCACCCATGTGGAAAGACAGAGTGAGAGCTGGGGGTGGGGGGGTGAGGTGAGGAAGTGGGGTGAAGAGAATGCAACAGAGAGAGAGAGAGAGAGAGAGAGAGGGCGTGAAGCGATGAAGTGAAACGTGGTTATCTTTTTGTCACTTGTTCGGGGTGAGGGATGTTGGATTCAGGCTACGGGGTTCCAGCAGCGGTGTGTTATTCACACTAGCACGTGTGCACACACACACACACACACACATTCTTGTAAGTCTTTCAGTGCTCATTTGCCCCTCCTTGACTTATTTTCCATCAGACAAAAGGGAAAATTCAGAAACACTATCTCTCCCTCTCAGCGCTGTCCACCTCGCCCTCCTCTGCTTTCCTGAGCGTTAGGTCATAAATGATTGACAGGACACAGCTGGAGACGCCTGCACGCCTCCCCTCCCTACACGCACACACACACAAGTCTTTACTCGCAAACACACATCCGGCACATACTTTGATGCACGCTCTGTCCTCTGCGAGCCGTTTTCTGTGCGTGCTCTATCGGAGCATGTCAGTCAGGCAGCCTATACAGTATGTGCTCTCGCTCTGGCTCTCCCTACTGCTGTGTTTTATTTTAGAGTCCCCAGGCAGGCAGACAGGCCAGCAGGCAGCGCACAGTAATGTCATCCAGCAGGGTTAGATTCAGCCTCCACATTAGTGCACACAGGGGGGAGGAGAGGAGGAAAGGAGGCAGGAAAGCAACCAAATACAAGGGAGGTGAAGAGGAAAGGAGCACGGGGATGGTGGAGAGGAAAAGGAAGGTGGAATAAAAAGCACATGTCTTATATTATGGCTTTAGATGTGAGGTTAAATGTGATGACGATGCAAATTATTCAGCATGAATCGATTGTATTTTATAGCCTGTGTTTTTATATGTTTACATGAGCGGTGTGTGTGGGGAGGGGGAGGCAGACGCAGAGATGTTCCCTGGACCCTGCAGCCTATTCTTAGCACAGCAGCACTGGAGGCCAGAGCAGCTCCCTGCACTGCTGTGAGCACATAGCTGCTCTGAGAATAGGACGGCTAATCTGAAGCACACTCACACTCTGAGGTTCAGGAGATGGCTGAGGCCACGCCAGCCTTCAACCTGTACACCTAATGTGAGTAGGAGTGATTGATACGGCGCCGCTGTGCGTGCCGCTCGTCCTAGACGCTCCATAGGAGCTCTCTGATGCCTACACGCCGCCGCGCACACAGTCGTTGCTTTCACCTCGGACCCCGACTTCATCTAAAATGCAGACGGGCTATTTTTCCGCTTGTATGCCAACCTGTTTTCGTTTGCTCCTCATTAATCATTTAGCGCGCACACACAGTTTCATGTACACGCCGGGTGTTTTTGATCCTCAGGAGCCGGGAACAGGTGTTTTTCCCGGGGTTTACCATTCGTTCCCCTACGGCTCGAAAACACAGATGCACAGGAAGCGGAATTGATCGGCGGGGAGATTTCTGGAGGTCTTTCATCTTCGTACATCACCGGTATCGTGTTTAACCTACAGAGGACGCACCTGCAGTGGCGTCTGAAGCGTGTTCTTCATTTTTACTGTAAAGTAAAAGATGGAGAGGAGCCAATCGGCTCGTAACATTTCAAGTCTCCTCTGTGTCGAGCACGGAGACTGCTGAAGTGTCCTTTAGCAGGACGCTGCATCCCAAGCAGCTCTC